AAACATTTCTTCCGGTGCAAAGCGCGGTTTTTCGGGCTTTTTTACTGACCTCATAGTGACGTCTGATACTCTTTGTGGTGGGTTTATTTGCTGTCGAGGTACATTTAGTTGTGGTCTAAAGTTGCCTGTATTCCTAAAAGTACCTGATCCGCTAGGTCTCACATTACCTGACGCCGGACCACTCCTCCAAGACGGCATGGTTGGCCCTCGTTGTGGTTTTAACTCCGGGTTCCAACTATTGCGCGGGGGAAGGTTACTTACCGGGTAAGAGATTTGGTTAGACTTAGTTATTTCCTTTTGCTTATGCTGTATATTTAGTGAACTAAAACTATTATTAAATCTATTAAAAGCTAATCGGGCTTCCTCTTGTCTAGCCGTTACTATAGCTGCTTCTAGAGTCGAGGGTTTTGAAATCCTCACCCCAATAGATACGTGAAAGTCTAAGTGACTTACATATTGGTCTATTACCATATTTTCGTAGTATGACTTATCTGTGTGTCTACCTACCACGTTTAATGTGTCTAATATTTCTCGCAAACGTTTACCAAATGACTCTGCGTCTTCGTTCTTATTACGACGCAACCTTATTAATTCTTGCATCAATTGTATTTCGTTGCGTGGTTCGCCTAATCTACGCGTTAGTGCTGTTTTAATAGCTTGCCAACTATCCACGTTTCCCTCGGAAGCTATTGCACAAATTGCAGTATCGCTCAGTTTACTCTTAATTAAGCTAATAAGAGCGGGGTGTACCCTAACTGGTTGATCCAATAATGATATAACATTTTCTACTTCTTTAATAAAATAGTTCAATGTTTTAGGGTTACCATCGTACTTAGGTAACAGTTCAGAAATGAACTTAAAAGTTGCTAGTTCGATGTTTGCCATTGCCATCTTTATAAGCTATACAACACAAAACTATAAAACTCACAATTAAATAACTTTGTAATAATGTTTTACGTAAGATTATTAGCTAGTACTCTGCTTATTCTGTACGACAAAAGCGTGAAAATGAATTATCAGCAACGTTATATGATCCGCGATTTTAGCAAACAATAAAACGTACCTATGATTTATAATATTGCTATCCAAGCGAATTACAACTGTGTCATTGACATATGCATATAAAAAAAAAATACCTATCAGATTCACCTACTCTAGTGTATGTAGTGCTTTGTTTATAACGATTTTAGTCTATACACAAACACACATAACATTCAGGATATAACGGCAGGAAATATAGCACAGGAAACTGGGAATACAACTTGCACTCACCCCAATGTCCTTTGCATCTCCAACCGGGCCTTGTAGTACAGCAGGACTCCCAATTCTCCGGAACTCCCGCTTGATGATAGTCGCCGTTCGTAGATTCGTTGTATGAGCTCGCGAAAATAACGGTTGATACCGTTCACTCAAGCCTGAAGAGTTATATTCAAGGCGAGTGTCGCGATCCTACCGACTGCGCCAGTTAAGTTACGGCGAACGAGTTAATTATAAAAAAAAGAATTTATTTAATTAAAACGATGTTTATTCGTTTGAATGTACTACAAGACTAATTTATAATTACAATATATTTATTAAAGTAAACTTATTGCTAAATCTGCAATGGTGCAGTTTCTGTTATGACGCACGGGGTCATCCGATGTGGATTCAGCAAATACGGGCATCGGGCGATTGCCTAACTCTACGTAACGATTTTTTTTTTTATTGCTTAATTGAATGGACGAGCTCACAGCCCACCTGGTGTTAAGTGATTACTGGAGCCCATAGACATCTACAACGTAAATGCGCCACCCACCTCGAGATACAAGTTCTATGGTCTCAAATATAGTTACAACGGCTACCCCACCCTTCGAACCGAAACGCATTGCTGCTTCACGGCGAAAATAGGCGGGGTGGTGGTACCTACCCGTACGGACTCCCAAGAGGTCCTACCATCAGTGATTACGCAAATTATAATTTTGCGGGTTTGATTTTTATTACACGATGTTATTCCTTCACCGTGGAAGCCAATCGTGAACAATTTGTTGAGTACGTATTTCATTAGAAAAATCTCATTAAATAATCAAAAACGCTTGACACACAGCATTAACCGTTACTGAAATGTATTATCTTTCCCTATTAACATAGGCATAGAGACCGCCAAGTTTCAGAGGCACTTCAAGGTTGCTATATATTTTCTTTTGTCAACCAATTTAAATGAAAGCTTTGTTCAGCTAATGCGCAGATTAGTTAATACAGACGCACAATTACCCTATGTTAACAATAACATTAAATTCCGTCTTTACTCTCTAGCTTTCTGTGTCTCTTTCACTCAATTAATGAACTTGAACTAGTTAGAATTCTAAATTTGTAATCATCTCTATTGAAACGAATGCAAAATGCCAAACACGTGTTGTGCTGTTACTCAAATTAGTGTAAGTTCATCTATATCTCGACCTTGTCCCACATTCGAGAGGTCGGTGGAATTGATTTGCTTCATTCATAATTATTATGGATAGTCAAAACATATACAGAAGTTAACCTGTACTACTCGAAAGATATTTTTGTTCTATAATCTACGATATATTTTTTATCAATTATCAAACCGACGACGAATGCTATTTCCTTTGTCAACGTGCCCAATTTCCTAAGGCGTTATCGGATTAAGTGAAAGTTCACTTTCGCTCGCATTAAAATCGTTTTCCGTACAAATTTACGAATTTAAGGTTTTCCGGTCACAATATTCCGACCTACGTCTCCATGTAATGTATATTACGTAACTTGTTCAAGTCGCAAGAATATTTCTCTACAATTCTCCTCAATCGTGTCACTCTTGACCGAGTGCTCGTAATCGTCACGTTGGAGGGGGCAGACTTGACCCTACTCGAGGACATTCTACTGCACTCATTTAGGAGAGCTCCCACTGTGATTTTAATTTGGTCAGTCCACCGCAATGGCGACCTCCGATACCGTTACAATTGCAATTGTATTGCAACAATAATTATTGTGTACGGTCATATTATATTTAATAGAAACGTTGTAGATTTTAAACTTTTTTTTACATAGTTTTTGTGTATTGTTAAGACAGTTATATGTAATTGCACCTGTAATTGCTGTCAATAGTGATGCTATCATTTTTCAACATCGTCGACACCACACTACCGTCCGCTTCTACACAAACGGAGGTGAAATGAAGGCTGTTTTAATAATTTAATTATGTATCATGAACGAACTTTAATAGCAGTTTTTTTTCTGTGTGTTATCGTGACTTGTAGACATAAAACTACGGTTTAATCTCGCGTTGATTATTTTCAGTCTACTGTTCCCGAAGTTTCCAATACTTTGGTTTTCGTCAACTTACACTTAAAAATTATAAAATGAAATTAATACAGCCGAGTTTGAAGAGTAAAATTAGTTTAAAATAAACTTTGATACTTCAAAAAACCTAATACTTATACGTCAAGAAAAAGCAGTAAATAGCACGAAACTATTCGTATTTTTCAATATGCTAATGGGAATTAACTTGCCAAATTGCTTTCAACAGATGATGTAATATGTATTTACATGGCGTATTGTTAAAAAGCAATGAACTTTGACTCGACCAGCGAAATAATACGAGCGGGTTCATCATCGATACAAATCATTTGAGTGAAATTCAATTTTGTCAATATTACATTATTACGTTGTCATTTTGTGTTCTACTTGATTAAATTTTAGTTAGTACAGAAAGTTCTAAAAGAACCAAATGAAAAAATGTTATTTGTGTTGAAATTGCTTTATCAATAACAGTATATATGTAAAGCACAAAGAATTAACATAATTTTAAAATTTTATGCGTTCTCATTTAATAATAATGATATGGCGGAATTGGTGGCAAAAGTGTGAGTAACTTACGAAGAAAACACAACATTTTTCGCATCGTCAGAACCTGAACTGGCTGAATTTTTTACCTAGAGTGGAGAATGAGAGTGAATCGAAAAGAGTGGGCCGTTAGGCTCGGCATAACAACTAAACTGTCTACAATTTCTTATCAACTTACACTTAATTACTTTGGAAACATTGCTCGCAGAAATCCTGATAACCTCGAAAAACTAATGAGTAGGTCATGTCGGCGAGCAAAGACCACATCGATCGATCACCTATCCGTTGGTCAAAAGTAATAGAACAGTCATCACACTAGATACGACCTTCACTAAATGTGTCGATTCAGAATAAAAATAAAAATAAATTACCAATTATGCAATACAATTATATTTACACTTTGATAATAAAAAAACATATTGTACCAAAAACACACCAGCTTGTATTTACGAAAAACAGGTTAATGCACTTGTCTCGTGGTTGTCCCTTGAGATAGGGAAGAACCAAAAATTTCAATTCCTACCAGACAGATATAATAAGTTTAAAAAAAAAAGTAAACAAGTTTTAGTGGCAATGAATAAAAACATTTTCTTTCCATTTAAATTTTGCGATTCCGGCTATGAATTAGTATAGTTGGATACAAAAGTTTTTATGTGGTACAGGATGAATGACTCGTTTGAACCAAAAGGGGACGAACACGTGGCTATGACAAGCGAAACAATCCAATGAACGGAATTTACTTAACGTTATAAGACACGTCACATTATTATTAATTTGGACGTACAAAAGGCAAGCATTGGAGGACACTTTGTATGCACACTGTGTTATCAAAACGGACTGTTTGCACGGCCACGTAACAATTATTTTTCGCTATGATCTTTGTTAATTATTTTTGAGAAATTCTGACGATGTAACATTGAGTTAGCGTCGTGTAATCGGCGCCCGTAGTCTAACGTTAATGTCGATCGGTCCTTTGGATTTCCGTGTACCCAAAAGTTATTTGGTTCAGTTGTTTCAAACGATCATCAAAATCTCTTGCGACGAGCTACGAAAGGACTTGAGACCGATCGTAAAGTTAGACAATACAGAACCGGGGCCATAGCGTATATAGCGATCGAAGCGAGAGACTACATGATTTATATTTCTCACTCTCGACTTACCAAATGTAAGGCCAAACTGCTTTTCTGAAACATGTTACTTATTCAATTACTGTTTTTTTTTTTTTTTTAAGTCGCGAACACACGCAGCCTTCGAATTCGATAACCTTAAGTACTTCGTTAATCTTTTGGGGTCAAAAATTCGCGGTGCACAGGATATATTATTTTACCAAAGCGTTCGCATTGCAACAAAATAATGATCATAAAATTAAAGGTACCTTTTTAACAGATTCATCGCCTCGTTTCTTCCTATCGCTATTCCCAAATCTGCAAAAGCCGATATAAGCTCCTCCAGGTCCACTTTGCCTGAAAAACACATACGTTTACGCTTTAAATACGAATTATTTTCTAAGCTTCCCAAAGGCCACTTAACACAAAAATGATCAGTCAAACAATAATTAGGGGAGGGACGGGCAGCGTTTGATCCACATAGATACATTCTCCTGTTTCCTGTCTCCTGGATAGTGAAATTAGAGCAAATTTTTTATACCATACGAAATATATATCTCACTTATTTTGTTTTCAAATATTTATATGTAATTATAATAAGAATCCAAAAATAGGGATCTCCTGAAATTACGAATTTTTTTACATATAAATTTTAAATGAACCCATTTCTAAAAGAGGAAACGGGGAAATGATGTCAACGGTAGATAGACCGAAGACATTAGTCAACCCTCTTCCTTGTCCGTTTTTGGGGGGTACTAATAGAACTCGATAATTCGCCCCGACAGTAGACTTGTAGTATCCACTTATGCTATCAATTTGTCTGCTCCTAACACCCTACCCGCAATTCCCAGTTAACCCGAGATCATGGCGCATTTAACAGCCCGATATATCGAAATAACACTTGAAATTAAAAATCATGGTAAAGACACGTTAAATAACAAAGCCTCTAATGGTTACCACAAGTTAGTCGCTCTATATTTTTCAATATCGATTGAGTTCTTACATATACGTATTTTATAACTCAAGGGTCTTCTTGCTTACAAGATTACACATTGGCCTTTGAGCTGTTTTAAGATACTGAAGAAACTTTTTTTTTCCCCTACTTAAGTTGAGAGCCTTGACAGGCTACTCCAGCGTAACCTAAACTAGTAGGTGAGCTCACGGGGCTCAAACCTGACGACGTTGCTAACACGAACCCTAGCAAGAGCCGTGCTTCGCAGAATCTACCATCGGATCGGAAACGCGACCCACTGAGAAGATCCGGCGAGAAACTCAGTGGGCTGTCTGAGGGTTGAAAGAAACTGAATTGTTAAGTTATGTATAAAGGTTTTTACCGTCTTGGTTTCTGTCAAGGTGTTTGAACTGCAGCCGCAAGTTCTTCTCGTGCTCTCTGACGTAGTGGATGAATTCGGATAGTGTCACGTCCCCAGCCACCTTCCATCCCGACTTGGCCAGAAATTTCTGAAATATCATTTAGTATTATAATTTGGTTTTATTTTGTGTGTGTATTATTACAAACGTGTGGTATTATGAGGCTATATATTTAAAATACAAAACTTCTTATATGAGGTGTTTTTTTGTGTTTTTACTGTAACTCTGTGCAAATATGTTGTGCTGTGTGCTTAGTTGGAGGAGCACCTCAAGCGGCAAAAGTAAGCAAACGTTCCAACTCCATACAAATTTGAGTTAACTTTTACGCTATCGAGAACGTTAAAAACTCGCACTAAGCACACTGGTCCGGATCGATTATGTAAAAAATATTTTTGTACTAATGTATATTAGTATAACAGTCCTACTTTAGCTAAGTTGTCATTGGTTGTCCTTTGCAAAACCAATACATTCTTCCAAAATAGTCTAGTCCTACACTATGCCTTTGAAATCTTCAGAATTGAAAGTCGTAACACCTACTTACTATATGACATCATCATTATACATTTCAACGATTGACAAGGATACACTTTGCTTAAAAAAAAATTCTTTTAATAGAAAAAGACCAAAAACGAAGACGGCATATAATAGGGGTTAAAGTATGAAATTGCCGTTCTATTGTAACAGGTGTATTGGTAACTTCATGGTTTGACATTTTTGAGTGAAACTTTCTTCAAATGGTACCTATGAGGTTCTTCTTTTAAAAAATGTGCAACATTGGATTATCGTTCGGTTCGTATCGGTTTTTTTTTATTCAGCTTAGACAAAAAAGATGGATACTTCGAAAATTCGAGTGATTTTTTAATACGAGTTCCGACGCGGAACTAACGCTGCGGAAACAGCTCGCTATATCAATGTTGCGTTTGAAGAGGGGACTGCTAATGAACGCACCGTGCGATTTTGGTTTAAACGCTTTCGTTATGCAAATTTTTTATTTGAAGAACGAACCACGTTGCAGACCGTCCACACATGTGAATACCAATGAATTGAAAGAGATGGTGGAAGCCGACCCGAGCCAAACTACCCAGGAATTAGTGGCAGTTTAACGTTACCTTACCAACAGTATTGACTCATTTGCGTCAAAACAATAAAATAAAAAAATATGAAAAATGGGTGCCTCATGATTTAACTGATCCGCAGAAAGAAACGCGTGTCGAAACTTGTGTTGCCTTGTTGAATCGATACAGAAATGAAAGAATATTGGATCGAATTCCGACATGTCATGAAAAGTGGATTCTTTACTATAGCCGTAAGCGAAAAATGCAATGGCTGACCTAAAGCAAAGCTTACTAATAAAAAGGTAATGGTAACTGTTTGGCGGTCTCAGCATGGTGTTATTCACTATAGCTTTCTCCAATCTGGTCAAGCAATAACAGCAGATGTCTACTGTGCTGAACTCCGAAGATTGATAGCAAAGCTTGCAGTGAAACAGCCCCGACTCATGAATCGATCTTCACCATTATTGCTCCATAATAACGCGAGACCTCATATACAGCACGAGAGACCGTTTTAACACTACAGGAACTGCAATTAGAAACCATTCGTCACCCCCCGTATTCGCCAGACCTAGCTCTAATGGACTACCGTTTTTTTCGTGATTTGGACAACTTTCTACGTGATAAAAAGTGTTCTCCCCAGGCGGCAGTACAAAATGCTTTCACACAGTTTGTAGAATATACATCATCAGAGCTCTATCGCAAAAGCATAAATGACTTTCCTATTAGATGACAGCAATGTACCTATAGGTAAATGGTAGATATTTTGATTAAATAAATATGTGAAATGAAAAAAAAAAAGAATTTCAATTTTTCAGTACAAATCGGCAATTTCATACTTTACCCTCTAATATTTTGTTTTACGAATTGTTGTTAACGTTTTCACTTCAACGTTTAAATATTACAATACAAATGGGACGCTAAGTATGTCTGGGTTTCGGAAGAGATTAGCGTTAATGTAGATGGCGCTGAACTCTTAATTTGACATTCACATGACCCATGCATGGTTAAGCTAACTTACAGTTTATTAGGCTATGAATAATAATAATGCTAACTCGAAGTTTTTTTAATTAGAAATTGTATCGAACGTAGTGAAGGATTTTCAAAAGGTACGGGTATTCGTGCTTGGCGAGTTACGTTTCCACATCTTCCGTTCATATTATACTCTATTCCAATTACGAAGTTCTATTTAACAGATGTTATTATGAATTGTATAATCATTTAGATTGATTGTGTATTTTTTAAATGATGATTTACGACCATGAACAAAAATGATTATTATTTCAAATTATGCGAAACATCAAGAGTTACGTTCTAAAAAGTGTTAAAAGGGACTTCGTAATTGGAATAGAGTATAGGGTTCTTACAATTGAAGTTGACTATAAGGATATGTTAGGTTCCGAAGAAGGGTTATCTTCTGTTAAAAGATCTTTAGAAAACTGTAATCCTAATGACACTACAATACGGAGACATATCCTCCTGTAGTAGTCCTAGTAGAACAAAGGTCAGATGTAGAAGATTGTAAAATGAACAGGAATTTTAAAGATAGCTTTTATCAATATCATTTTTTTAATGACTAAGGTGAACGTAATCTTATTTAACCCCATGAATGTATTAATTGAAGTTTTGCAACGTAAAAATAAATTGCGACTGGGTTGTTCAATAAAAGGTATACGACGGTGTATTAAAAATAAACTCGCGTGGTTTGACTTTATTGTGCGTAATTATAGTTAAGTTTCGCAGAGTTCTGTGCCCACACATTTGTTTGGCCTATTTTTATACTTATTATACATCTTGAATAAGGGGCGGAAAGTGACTTGTAAGCTGATATCACTGGGTTATAATGATAATTTTCCTCAAATAGAACGTTTCAAAATACTTCGCCTAATGGAAAAAAATTCTAAAATTAGCTTTAAGTAAAACTTTATTTATTTGATATCATTTTAAACAAGCATTCTAACTTATTTAAGATAACACGAAAAAACCTAATTATATGAATTCCCCCGGCTACACGCAAAGATCTTTGTTGCACCCTAGGCTCCATTTAAAATAGATTCAGCGGTCACTGACCTTACTCGACAGGAAACTCAAATAAAAGGATTTTATAAAGTTTTGAATTTTAAGCGGCATTATACTTTTAAATTATTCCTTGGAAATTTTAATCCTTCTGTGTTCCGATAATCCGAGTGTACAATATTTTTTCTTACAAAAATGTAGGTACTTTGAAAACATTTTTAACGATAAGTTTTAAATAAGATTGAACGTGTTCGTTTTTTTTAATTTTAGTTTTTTTTTAAAGTATCAAAGCGTTTGAATTTTCTTAATAATTAATTAACTTTGTTGTGATTTTTTTAAATAACACATCAATTTGTTTTGAAGTTTAGTTTGTGATAGCCAAAATGAGTTCGGCAGGAATTCCGAATCTTGGCAATTGATTACAATGGTTAGAAAAAATGTAATGAATTTCCTTGTAAGGTTGTTGATATTTCCATGAATCGAAGACAGATATCCGCAAAAATGAAAATAAAAATCTATAGTAATAGAATACTAAGTTTAACTAGCGCCACCAACGATTAATTAGTTATTAGATCAACCAATATCAATGCCGCCATCGGTCTTGAGACTTGAGGTCGAAATCACGATTTTATTGGGTACGGCTGTACCCCAAACTTCAAACAGGAACGCCAGTGCGTGCTCACAATACGCCCTCTCACGAATATTTACGCAAGGTCAACGAATTTGTGGGGGTTTTTTGTTGCACGTGGTTCCTTGAAATCGTTCGTGCCCAGATCGCGGCCACAGATTTAGAACAATGGTTCCGGAAGTGGCGCATTGACCCCACGAAAAGCACAGACGTGCTCTTGCAAAGCGGTCGCCCTCTCGATACTACTGCTAGTACCTCGTCACCAATTAGGCGCGGTAGCTTCATTCCCGCCATAAAAATCTTTGCCAGCCCATACCGTGGGCTTCGAAGACTAAGTACTTAGGCGTCACTCTCGACAGGGGATGACATTCGGGCCTCACATTAAGTCAGTACGCAACTGAGGTGCATTCTTTCTCGGTCGAATCTACCCCATGATTTGCAAACGAAGTAAATTGTCCCTTCATTATAAGGTGACACTCTACAAAACCTCCATACGTTCTGTCATGACCTGTGCAAGTGTAGTGTTCGCTCACGCGGCTCGTACACACATCCACTATCTCCAGGTCACCCAATCCCGTTTTTGCAGGATACCCGTCGGAGCACCGTGGTATGTGAGCAATGTAGATCTTCACGACGACCTAAGGGCCTGGCCACAGCTACTGGCGGTGCGTTTTGCGGTGCGTTGCGAGGCGCGGCGGGCGGCGTGATTTGCGGGGGTATGCCACAGCTAGACTAGTTGCGACGGCGGCGGCGTCAGAGGTGGACGTATTTAGAAAGCCCTATCAAATTTCCCTTTCAAAAGTGGCACGATATTACCTTGAAATAAGTGCGTTCTTAGCTGAAGATATTATTCAATTAAGAATAGGCACCCAGTTAGAAAAAGAGAGGACTTGGCGAATTTCACCCTATTTATTAGGTATTCTATTAGGAATATTAGGAATATAAGAACTATCCCGATAAATAGATTATTAATAGATTCAACCTTCAAATCTCAATTTACCATACGTGTTAATTGCTGATAAAGCCTATCCTCTTAAAAATTATTTGATGCGCCCATATCCACCGGGTAGTTTAAATGCGGAACAAATAATTTTCGACAAAATATTATCCCGGGCAAGTGTCACAATTCAGTACGCGTTTGGTATTCTAACTAATAAATTTCGTATTTTTACGAAAAGTGTAAAGGCAAACAAAAAGCACGCGACATTGATTATAAAGGTTTCGTGCCTTAAAAGAAAGTGATGGAGACAGAGATGCAGATTTTCAGCAGTTTGTTTCCCAGTTTGGAGACTCCAATATTCACAATAGCGTACGCAGATCAAGACGGAATAATCGAGCAACGGTTCAAGCATCTAGAATACGAAATCAATTCAAATTTCAAATTTTATTTCAATAATCCTATCCAAGAGTATCTAGGAAACCATTAGTACCAGAAAATTGTTGTTTTATTTCGTCCCACATTTTTTTTATAACATGCCTATATTTATGATGTGGATGTTTTAACATCCATATTTCTGGTCTACTCAGTATTTCACTAATGAATTGTTCCACATCCATTATATTTTATTAGCTCAACGCGCGGTAAAAACAAAATGATTTGTTTCGGTCGCGCGATGCCTCAATGCGTCCACCGACACCGCCGCGCGCGCCGCTCTGAACTGTGGCCGCCTCCATATTGTCTAGTACATTTGTTTCACTCGCACATGGCGCAGCTCGTCGCCGCCAGATGTCACGCACCTCTCACCGCGCCTCGCAACGCACCGCAAAACGCACCGCCAGTAGCTGTGGCATACTTCATAGGTTGTCTACCATTTGTTTTCGCCGCTCCCGCTTGCCGCGCCTCACGACGCACCGCAATTCGCACCGCTCTCGGCTGTGGCCAAGGGGTAAGTCTAGTACCGATATGTAAGTATCTTAAGGAAGCGTCAGAACGCTACTTCGACAATGCAGCGCGACACGAATACCCTGTTATCGTGGCCGCCACTTATTACTAATCCGACCGCGACGGGACAACGCAAAGCCGCCGTCGCCCGAATCATGTCTTGTCGGATCCCCCGGATTCACTCTCGGTGCTTTTAGGCTTCTCAAGTCACCGTCTTTGTCGAACTCGTCGACTACGACGAAGAGTTCGACGAGTGAAGTAACCCATAGATACAGTCCACTGAGTTTCTCGCCGGATCTTCTCAGTAGGTCGCAATTCCGATCCGGTGGTAGATTCTGCAAAGCATTGCTCCTGCTAGGGCTAGTGTTAGCGCATTCTCTCAGGTTGGGCCCGTGAGCAGGCTACCAGGGAATAGGTAGGCAAAAATAAAATTCGTTCATGAACATGTGATACTCAGAAAAAATTATATAATCGCATCATTTATATGAATACACTCATCAGATCAGCAACATATCACTTTTTGATCGTAAATTTCTACTCTATTTCTAACGGTTTCGTTTTCTTTTTACTAAGCACTTAAAGCAATATTATGTACTAGTAATGTGAAGTTACTTATCTATGTTCATTTTTAGCCTTGCTCTTATTGCAATGTAGGGACATGATGTAATATTTACGAAAAATCTCGCCCTTTTCTATTTTGGTTACTGTTCAAGTACATAGCGGCCTTCGCATAGTTACTAGGTGCCTTGTAGCTTCTCAACATTAGGTGGATCATGCCCTTATCTAACCACTTATTCAAACATACACAAAAATAACCTTGAACATTGTACAACTGCATTCAGGAAACTCTCAATTGGATGCGTAACTATAAATTATGACAATATGTAACAACATAATATGTAATGTGTGTTGTTCGTTTGTTATTAAAATTAAATCAACATTTGAATATTACAGTTTCTTCATCGTGCAAGGCATATATAGAGTCTGATATAATAGCAAAAATTGAACAATTTCTATAGCATTTAATTTGGTCATACATATTCATTCATCCCATCTTCTTCACCGTGCAAGGCATATCCCGAGTTTGATATAATAGCAATAATTGAACAATTTCTATAGCTTTGAATTTGAGCATACATATTCATTCATCCTGTATAAATCAAATTTTAGGGTGGATGCGTGTTCGACTGCTACAGGTTAGCATGAAGATTCTTGAATAAATTTTGTACTCTTCAGGACCATGTTACTATCATAAATAAGAATTGATATCAGTTTTGCAATATAAAACTTTAACTCTAATTGAATTTTATTCTGAGTTTTTGTTTTAGGGAATTTGTAAATTTATATATTTATATTATTGCCGTCATACTATTGTCAAGGTCGTAAGACTAGTTTATTCTTGATCGTCTAACCCTTCAGAAAACATACAAGTAGATTAAACAGATAATGCAACTACTTACTTTACATAATACCGTGACAAGGTAAATATAATAGAGATAATATATTCCTATCCATAAGAGTTAAATCTTGACATATCAATGATTTATCTGTGGTGTATTGTAGTTTTGAATATACAAAGAGTAAGTTACATTTTCAAAAAAGTCAAATAGTACATTTTTTATAAGTACCTAACTGGTGTTAATATAATTTTGCAAAAAATTGCGACGGTGTATTCTGTAAAATATCTTTGATAGTTTTGATAAAGATCATGTTAGTTGGTGATTATTTCTTAGTCGTAATTTAAAAAAAAATTATATGAAGATAGAATACAATGCCAGTAGGTAAGCCAAGTAATAGGCACCTTAGTGATTAAAATTAAATTTATAATTGGCGATGCTTGAAGGAACACGTGTCGTGTCATCGACTTGACGAACAATTCATCGGTAGAAGATACCGTTAGTTCAAGCTAAGGAAATGACCATTCTAACCTCTGCATAGCTGCGATTGATGTGGGGGGCCAGCTCCTTGAGGGCGACAGACAGATCATGTATATCAATCTTCCCGTTTCCATCATGGTCTAATTTAGAAAAAAGTTTCTCAAGCCTTTCTTCGTCTTCTTTTGGTAATTCTTCTATTTCCAACGGCGGATGACACTGTACCATGATCTCTATTATCGGCGTAAGTACGTTTTTTTAATGAACACAACAATATTATTGCATGAGTATTCGTGTGGGCATACATAACTTTAGTCTAACTTAAATACGTGGTCAGAAACATTTTAGAAATTCGCACTCGATTCGCGCTGAGTAGTCTTTGACAGCTACTCGCTGCCGCACTGCCGCACACAGAGATACGCGCAAACCACGGCGAACGAGCGTTGTGTGGTAATTGTGTCATACACTAAATTATGACATCACCAGGCAGAAATTTCCCCAATATGCTAAGCGAAATATTTAAAATTTCTGTAATGTATACTGTAACGCAAGGGCCGTGAGCTTATATTACACTGACTAAAATTGTTCATTTGTGTGAATGTGTGCGTTTTATGGTTCTTGCCAGCAACGACTGTTAGCGCCATCTGTACGAAGCTGAAAAAACCGTGACAAGGCATTTACTTATTGATTTAAAATTACGTAATTCTCAGCCCTATTATTTTCAATAGAAAAATTAGGCCACAGATAAATGTATTAGTAGCCAACTAAAGCTGCTTGTGTGGTTTAAAATTTTAGTAATTTCTACAAAAGTTTTTTGAGTAGTTACGTTATTTGATATTTAGTGTATGTTATATTTAATAAAGTTAAGAATAAGAGACAAAATTAGCTTTATAGTTTTTAAATATATTGGAATATTAACCAAATAATTTTTATTTTTAACGAACTTTTTTTTGGAAATTTTAAGAGATCATAAAACTTCAAATAATGTTCCATCCTGTTATTTTTAAACTGTTAATTCTGTTAAGTTATTGTAGGTGGCGTTAGTTTACCATTCAATATTGAAAATTAAGAATTTGAAGTCGAAAAGCCATGTAGAACTGAACATAGTTTTTAAATATATTTATAGATGTCGCTGCTACACAAATTTTCGAACTGTGGCATTAAATTGTGAAGACTGCTTGCATTTCCATCATCGCGGTTTTGAGTTTAACTCGATTGTTGGAAGATGTCGAATATTGAGAGACGTTGAATGAAGTCCGAGCTCCGTGGTTCGCGAGAAACGTATATTTGTACGACGATCTGTGCCTCCAAACCGCCAAAAAACACCTAAAGTACCTAAGCGTTGAAAATATACCTACACTAAGGCGATATGTCATGAAAACTGATTTATCGTGGCCGCCATTGACTACTATCCGAATCAGGCTCATTTAGGAGCCAATTACCCTTGACGCCCTACCTTCCCCTATACGCTCTTACGGAACCACCCGACCCACTAACACAATTATTACATCCCTACACTCTATCATTAGGAGCTAACATAGGAACCCTTGTAGCGGTTACCGCGAGTACGGTACTCATCGAAGAGATCGTCGTGAAACCTAACCCATAAATTAGCGCGCTGAGTTTCTATTGTCTTACTTACCGTCCTTACGGTCTTCTTAGGAGACGTTGTGCAGCTGTTACTAAGCCCCACCCTCTCTACGTGTAATTCATCCCTTCCAAAATAATATTTCATAATTCAATCTTTCTACAGGATTTCGATTAGTCCGGGCGTAGCTTGAATAGCCCCCTCCTTAGGCTTCCAGCTAATAGGTAGGGAAAAAAAACCACAGCTATGCTATGAGCTATGCTAAATTAGCGCACTGAACTGTTTTATTACTACATTTTTTCAGATTCGTTCGTTATCGTAGGACCTCCTCACCTAGATTCTAATACTATACTAATACTATGCTAATACTATACTAATACTATACTAATACTATACTAATACTATACTAATACTATACTAATACTATACTAATACTATACTAATACTATACTAATACTATACTAATACTATACTAATACTATACTAATACTATACTAATACTATACTAATACTATACTCCAATTGTCCGACCGAAATTCTCTTAATTTCCCTTGCTGAAATGCTCCCTAGTGTTTGAGTGGTATGGCGTGTTTCGAAAACGAGTGGGTAGAATATAGCATTATCAATGCTGTTTCAGCCGTCGAAAAATCACATGAGAAAAAAATAAATGGTGTTACGTTAATTATTTTAAAGGACCGTATCACAATAAGTATCCACACGTAACATATCTTAGCTAACTCAGATATTCATAATTCGAATGGAAAAACGGAGCAAGAGAAATTCAAACGAAAAAAATGACTCATAAAGTTATTTACAAGATATTTTGGGGTGCATTAATCCTGTGACAAAAAAGTCACATTTGGAAATACAATCACGTACAGTCAGCATCACGATGACATACGCATAATAGACTCGTTCTATTGTACTTCATTAAATTCACTCAATAACCGAGCCATATTTTGCTAAGTAGGTTTTTCAAATCGTCACAATTCAAATTTCCGTCCCTTTCTCTCTTTATATAGATCTGGTTCGCGACAAGGACAGCAATAAAAGCTCATGGTAACTGTCCTCAGATTTCAACCAATAAGCCCATGGGGATGGCATGGCTATTATGTCAAAATGACAATACACAAATTGACGCGACCGAAAGACTATAAACTCTAGAAGTTAATACGGACAGAGCTGTACGGAGCTTTATTTATGAATGGATTGAAAAAAGACTTTCGCGCTCTGTGGTAAGGTCGAAATTCCGTACACTCCTTTTTTTAGATTTCAATTTAAGAAAACGATATCTATCATTATCGGCGCAGAGTGCATTTCTGTGCAACCGAAATTACATTGTCAATTCGGGACCATTGAAAAGTCTTTGAAAGGGAGTGAACAAAGGCTCATAAAGTTAGAGATTAATCGGGGATTTGGACACAATACGTCCGCGACGCACACATGTCACGGCAGACGAGCAGGAGTCTGTTGTTTGTCAATGACATTGTGACATGGGGACGCGACGACACTCCCGGCAAATAAAGCAGTCATTTAAATGGATGCGTTACTCTCGATTGCAGTGTATTCATTTTTATTTTCTGTCGTACCTGGGTATTTACGGTAGACCACGTAGTGAGACGCTGAATTTCACCTCGCATTTGAGTTTGCTTATATCGCAAACATAATTAATTTTTGTTTGCATCCCAATGAGCAAGATTTGAGTGACACACCTGAATCTGATAATCTGATGCTCTAAATCAGTAGCGGGCAACCCTTAAAAACATTTACGTAATGTTATCTATACTAATATTATAAAGAGGAAAGATTTGTTTGTTTGTTTGTATTGAATAGGCTCCGAAACTACTGAACCGATTTGAAAAATTCACTGTTTGGAAGCTACACTATTCCCGAGTGACATAGGCCAATATATTTTTTGAAAAAAATTAGGGATCCTTACTAAAACTCCAATAATGTAGACCAAGGTGTAAAAAAATACCTAAAATACTCTGTAGATCGCGTGCCCTGCGAAAAGTATTGATGATAGAATAAAATAATGTACTACGTCTATGTAGAACACATTATTATTTACAAAAAGTGTCGCCGTTTGTCTATATTATAGTTATGCCGCAATAAGTGTTATTTTATTTAAAAAAATAAAACAACGTTAAATATCGTTGAAATTTTTGTTATAGACCCGACCGGGCCGGAGCGGTCCGCTTGTAGTGTCATAAAGCCATTTCACAGGCTTGTACATTGCACATCACTATCGTAGAAATAGTTGTAACTGCGGACGGATAGACAGTATTAAAAGTAACTACTCGTAAGAAAAAAACGTTCGTATTGTTTTTATGTTCAATTTATTAGTTAGTGTTTGTAATAAATAAAAACGCAAAATTAGGTAATTAATGCAGGAATTTAATGTATGTACACGAATGACCATAAATTTACACTTTAGCAAAGTAAGAATTGTTTTTTGAGAGCATTTATGAAGTAGAGACAACAGGCCGATAAAAAATTAAATTCGAGATAAAATCCTTGACCAAAATCTGCAACAAAGGTTGGCTGACTGACTCAGGCCGAGGATCGAACTCGAATTGTGCCACGAAAAGGATTAAATCAGTAGAATCGTTACATCATAGCTCATGTTCTATATAATAATATAGAATATAATAATATATATAATAATATAATAATATAGAACATGAGCTATGATGTAACGATTCTAGTGATTTAATCCTTTGACTATTGTCAAGCGTGTTGATATTAAATTCTACCTAAATAGAATAGAAAATAGAATAGACCGCTATTAAATTTACACTTCGGTAACGGTAACAATCGATTTATATTTTTAAAAAACAATACACGATTTTCATCATTTTCATTAGCCTTTTTTGATTTGACAGACAGGCGCAGAGTTCTTTTTTTTATTGCCCTTAAAGGCAGACGAGCACACGGCCCACCTGCTGGTGAGTAACCACTCGTCGCCCATGGACTTCAGAAATACCAGGGGCAAAGCCAAGCCGCTGCCTACAATTCGCCATAATTACCGATCTTGGACTGCTCGGATTCAGCGGATTCCAAGCGATTTTCCGCAGCTCGCCGGGCCACATTATGGGAGAGCTACCCACGCTGTCTTCCGGGGGGTAGTGGACGTTTGAAAACTTTTTGGCCCAAACTATCACTTCAACCTCGCCATCCTTCGGGCTATGGTAGTTATCATGGCTCTATTGTAAATCTGTTCATTAAATCTCGCAGGGAAACTTCGAGCATAACCTTCTCCACGGAATATCTATTCCGTGACCTTCTCCATTGCTCTTTGGGTGACTTTGAGCCTTTTAATTGGGCCCATTATGAAAGAACACGTCTCACTAATGAAAACACACTGGTCACAAACTTTTGTCTTGGGAAATTACAGTATTTGCGTCATATGAACTTAATTGTAGGCTATTATCAAATGTCATATTAATCAGTAATGAAGCGAATTAAAAAACCATGTAAACTAGAAATAAACCTACAACTATTACTTCCTCAATGACACATATTTCAACAACTTATCTATTTACAATAATTTACATATTATATAATCTACTTAATTTTATATTTAATTATTCTTATTAGCACCACATCGGCTTATGAACTAAACAAGTTTGAGTAAATCATGATACATTAAAATATAGGATACCTTAAAGAATCCGCTGACATTTACCATGTAAAATATTAATATATCATTTATTATGAAGATACAATACCAGAGATTATTCGATTGTTAATAATTCACTGGTAATTCAGTGATATTGAGATACTAATAATACTTGCAGACTAACTACAACTTTCAAAGAGAAACAAGTCGATACAAGAATTAATCTTCATTACTTCATCTAATTTATGTTATTAATTTATCTTATCATGCAGTAACACTTAAAGAAATAACTAAAAAGCTAAAATAGCAATATAAACATTTTCTATAATTTCCCATAGTATCATACGGATCTATTAGTATAATATGTAGCCATCTCTAATATCTAGCTATCATAAATATTTCTTGATTATATTATCGTTGATTCTCCTTAATATGAATGAATGCATCACATTCATTTTTATAATTTTACGAGTAAAACTATGATGGATCATTCGTCTAATTCTGTCACAAGAAATAAATAGGATTTGCGACACTTCGACATGTCACGGTAGATAGATATTTCTAATCACTTCGAATACCGACACACATTGTTTTCTAAGATCTTTAAATAAAACATATATGATAATCTGTTCCAATCCTTAGATTATAACTATATTTTACTGTTCAATACCTACCTAGATTAAATGATTAGACTACACTGTACATTAATTACACACTCCAATTAACTTTAAATCCTTAAAGTACAAGAGAGTTAGAGTACCGAACAATTATAAATTAATTTTACTACTTATTACTACAACTACTACTACAATTACTATTATACTACAATTACTACTACACTACTACTCTTGGTATATAAAAATATAAAAAAAAGAGACAACACAAACACAAAACTGGCACTGAATAATGAAGAATTCACATTATATAATATGATAACCGATATTTTAAGCCTTATGTATTGTGAGACAATTTATTTTGCGGATTTTATTTAAGACAATTGATTGGCCAACTTTATTTTTAGTATTGGAAACAAAAAGCAGTTAAGTCTCTCAATGAATTCACAGTCTCTCTCAATGAATTCACAGTCTTATAAATAATTAAATCGTATCTTTGGTAGTACGATACATGTCACCGATTATTCTTTCGATAGGTATCTCCCCAATGGTCGCACGGAAAAACAGCTCGACTATAATGAGATTAGAGACTCTCTTAATGACCGGCAGTAGCTGTAGGATTTGACTCAGTCTAGATGGGTCCAGCGGATAGGTCCTTGTCGTATACTGAAAGAAAATTGTACGGAGGTAAAAATCATATTTAAGCTTTGATTTAAAAAAATCAAAATATTTCATGAGATCTCCCTAACAGAGACAACAAACATGAGCTTTCATTTTCAGCGGCTATCTATACTAATATATAAAGCTACATTGGTTTTTACGGATGTTCCGTTATAACTACTGAACCATGCATCCGATTGACTTGAAACTTGGTATCCATGTAGAAAATACATGTACGTAATGGATAGGCTAATATTTATATTGGACTCCCTAATAATAATGACAATAAATAATAATGTTGATTTTAAAAGCCCAGCGAAGCAGGCGAGTACGGCTTTTATTTTATAAAATTAGTGATAAGCGTCAACTTTGCGTTCTTTTGTTTTCTAAAATATTTTAATCTTTTTGGTCTCTTGAAAATAGAATCATTCTCAGTATCTTCGGATTCGTCTTCTTAGAGTCTACTAGATATAACGGCGCCTTAGGAAGAAAATCGAAGAGAGAAGTCGACATAATTACTTCAGTGGGCCGCGTAGGGCACTGCTGACCTCCATGGCAATCAACGCGTTAATTCTATGTGAGCCATGACATCGTCCACTAAACAAAGCAATAAAAAAGAAATTATACAGTTTAATTATGGGTACTTTCGAGCCGGGTGCGATCCAGAGTGGCTTCTTTGACTAGCCGATATGCCTATGCGCGCATTGCTATTTGCGTGGACCTATAAGTTACTTATGACGACGCTTGTAGCTGAAAGTAAGTATTGTACTTTTTGACGAAGCGTGTTGCGGATAATAATATGTACTTTTAGATTATTAAACTACCTTGCAATTGTGTTTTGGTGTGCAATAAAGTGTTTAATTAAAAAAAAAGTGTTTATGTTATTATATATCGTATGGAAAACCTTTTAGAATTTAAAACTCACCTCATTTAGTACTAATTGCGAATGGTCTTGTAACGCTGCAACCGCGGGGAGATCTTGAAGCCTCTTATATTCAGAGCCTATCTGTGACTGACCTCTGCATAATATATTAACATCTACGAAACTCGTTTTGAACAGTACAATTGCTCTTAAACAGGCATACTCGTTACTATCTGGATGGACTTTAACAATGTCGGCTAATGAAGTTTCGAACATTTCCACGTCTCGGCTATCTATTCTGGCGTTTCCTTCAGATAGAATCTTGAGGTCCAATGGGTACAAAAATTGAGCTGAACCGATTATGAACAAATCCTTCCAAGATTCTTCTAATAACAGTAGCCTGTCTGGTAATGATAATGATGCGAACGCGGGAACATTCTTTGCCCATTTAACGTTCATGAACAGTAATCTAGCTGCAGCTTCGCACATCGCTTCTGGATCCTTTGGGGATAACAAGGCAGCTGTGATAGGTGGAGGTGAAGGCGCTTTCAGTGATACGTTGACTACGGAAGGATTAATCATATGAATTCTATTGAACGGGTACGGATGTTGGAATAAGGAATTTTGCGGCGGGGACATAAAGTTGTGCTTGGGTACCGCTAAATCTAATGGAGGTGGAACTGTGAGTCCCATTTCTGGTGTAGGTAACGCTGGATCCTTCAAAAATAATGCCATTTGTCGTCTAATCGTAGAGTTTCTAGGACCTCTTTCATGTTGAACAGCTGAAAAAAATCTGCATATAAATTATCAAAGCTAGGGGACCCTTATAGTTAATTTATATTCTGTTTGTTTTTGACGCCTACCGTCTTTATTCATTCCAGCGTCCAGGCATTTGGCAAGTCTACACGCTCGACACTGATTTCGGTGTGCTTTATCAACCACACACCCGCCAGGGTTGCGTGCCTTGCAGGTGTAGCGACGGTCTCGCCTGACGGACCTTTTGAAAAAGCCAGCGCACCCGTCACATGCAAATACGCCGTAATGCTTTCCCGACGAGTGATCGCGGCACACGGCACATGGCACATCGTACAGAATGCGACCTAATTGAACAAAAAAAATAACGATTTTGTAAAAATTTACCTGACCCAACAAACAATAATTAGTAGTATTTGTTCTGAAGAACAACGCCAAAAATTTACAATGATAATCAAGATGACGTTAAAAAGTTAAACCTGCAGGCAGCGGAATTATATTTAAAGCACTCATCTAATCTTGTCTCATCACACCGAAAATTATAATTTAATCTTAAATTGTTACATACCTATATCAGAAATATATATTCTAAACGGTACAAAAAAAAAGTTTTAAAGATTAATAAATCAACGTCACAATTATTTGATTTGAGGACAATGAGATCGACGTCCGGGGCAGGGTGGGCTAGGGCTCCGCCCCACTAGGGGAGGTGCCTGTAATTTATAGCTATCGGTGCCCTTGAAACTGTCAAATGAGCAAAGTAATTATCGTCAATGATTTGAGGTTGGATTTATCGTTAATTATGAAGGGTCAACAAAAAGGTTCGTCGGATTCCGGACCTTGTATATGTATGTATGATGATGACCTGTCATTGATTCCATTTGGCGCAATCTAAAGATTTTCTTTCTTGACAATACACGCTCACTTGTTCAAACACTTTACATAAACTTGTTTTGTACAAAAATCCAATATTACTGATACACCAAAACGAACATTACCTATAGTAATGAAATAAAATTGTTTAAACACACAACGCAGCAAATGCTCTGATTCCTGTTTAACAATACGCATGTTTTTTGCACTTCATAATTTGTTCGAAACGGTCCCACGATAGATGTTTAGCATTTATAAGATAATACATCTTTTAATACACCTCCAAACACGGCCGTAGTCAAAAAGGCATAAAGGCATTCAGTCAGAGCAGTTTTGTATTAACGTAAGCACTTGCGAGCATGGCAGGAAACGCGGTGTCGAATGAAAAGGTCGACAAAAACTATTACTATACAAAAATACGAGACAATGCAGTTCACTACAGCAAAGAGCTTGGGAATGTCTCAATAAAACGGCCATAGATAATGACAGTTTTCGTATTTTAAATAATTAGGGTAGTTTTACATGTAGTAATTCTTTTAAATGTATAAATAGTTATAGGTTTGCAAGTCCATTAAAATTCTTGACTACCTACGAATTATTATTGTTTTGCTTCAACGCTTAAAAATAATTTGATAAGGATAACGGATACATTTTGATATTTGTTATCGGAGTACATGGGTCGGTGAAATGATCTCGGTTTGAAGGGTGGGGCAGACGTAAAACTGAGACAGGATTCACGTGTCAGGTGGATGGCGGTATTTACGTTCTTGATGTCTATGAGTTCCAGTAACCACTTAACACCAGGCGGGTCGTGAGCTCATTCACCCATTTAAGCAACAAAAAAGTACAGTAACAACGGTTGGCTCGGACACACACGCACACACACACACACACTGAATTCCAAAACGCACACTCAATATTAGGTGAGAATTGGGGTAGACGAATAAAATGACGATGCTGGTGGTATTGCTCGTAAGATTGGATGAACTATGAGAAAGATCTCATCGTCAGAAGATAATTGACGCCGTCAACGCAAAAGTGGCCTAAGCTTACCATAGTTAGTATGAAGGCAATTAGGTTTGACTTTTCATGAATTTGAAATTAAGTAAACAAAAAAACAATACGCGCAAAAATAATGTTTACAAAGCTATCTGTTATCTATGGGTGAAATTATGGATAGGCCGGTTTTGCATCAAAATTTACTATATTTTGAATAAATTCGAATATACGTCATATAAGCTTGAATATAAAAAAATTGTGGATTAGGCCACTTTTGCGCTGATGCCCTCAATTAGTCTAACAATATCACAACTTTAATATTTACATCTAATATAAAAAAGTATCCCATTTTAAATGAACCCTAATGACGCTTATCAGTTTTACCCGTGCGAATGTCCACCTGCAGGGTTGTTTCATCCCGTCGCGTGACGTTTATCCGGGGAAAACAAAACGACTGGTTATTAATTACGATCGTCGATGGGAAAAAGAGCACTTTGTAAGTAGCCATTTGGTAACAGATAGATGTGTTGATATTTTCCCACGCATCAACGGGTATGTTGTCCCTTAATTTAGAAGTAATAAAAGTTGTGTATATGAAGTGTACCATGTAGGTGTTAGATTAGTTCATAAAAAATCAAAAGTACTGTTCAATTATATTAGTAAATTCTAATATGCAAAATTTTCAAATAAATTTATCCCATTAACGTGACAATCCATATCTTAATTTATCAACGATCTTTAGGTAAATAAATAATAATAATAAATTGCTAATACACAACAAGCAAACAATTTTAAAGATTATTTTTATTATTCCTGTAAGTATTCTTTCTGTAATCATTTTTCTTTAGTTTTAATAAAAGTTAACAAATATAGCATTGTCAAATTTTATCAAAACTCTGTTCTTTAGTGAAGCGAAAAACAAATGTTTAACATAAAAAATTCAATATCGCGATGTAGTATAATTTTAATTAATAGTTGGATATCGTGTCGTGTGTTGGCGGATAGTTACGGCAATGAGAGCGGTGACAGATGCGCCGGTGCAGTCGTGGGAAATTCATCCTCCAAATTAGGTACTTACTACACGTCATCCCGCACATCTCACGGTAAATTAGCTATAGGGTTATGGCTATTATGGTATCGTTATATTGTGGAATGTCTTGTTCATCAAAAAACATTATTTATTGTTAAGTAACGTCAACTTTCGCGGCCACGCCAGAACAACAAAAATAATATGGCTTTGAGAATGTAATCCTATAAAGTGTCTCATCTGAAAAAACAGTTGTGTTATAAATAGTAAAATAGAGTTTAGCGTTCTTACTAGACGATGCAGGGATGGATTGCATTTCCATGTTGTCAGCAGTAATAATTCATATTATAATATCCTGATTACCTGTAACATAAATGAAATAACAAATTAGTGTCAGTAAATTATCCCACGGTTTTGTATAAGGTACAGAATTGAATTCAATTTTATAAATAATCAAGTATCGTCGCGGTTTCTTAATGGTACTTAAGAAACCAACACAAAAATGCCTATAGTGAAAAGAATCGGTCGAGAATAATCGTAACAAATGTAAGAAAATAAAGAGCTTTTGTGCTAAAACTAACTTGGCTGACATCTTTTTTGCAACAAAGCCGAGTGGCACTTGTTTTTTATTCATAGCTCGCTTTGTTCTAAACACGACTTAATGGTGGTTGAGTCGAGAGTTCTTGAGTGTAAAGCATTTAATTTTAAAATACTTACAATTCTCATAGTATTATACGTATATTGTAAATTGTATTTTACATGTCGTGTGAAAGAACATTTTTAATTCGAATGCCTATTTTATGTCATATAACTGTTTTATTACATGTTTGTACGGAACAATAATATCAAAATTACATTCTTCAAAATTTTTGTGTATGTGATGAAATTGAATTTCATACAAAACAAGCACGATATTCATCTGAATACTATTATAGATGGACAGATTAGATATTTGCTCGTCTGCTGTTAAAAGAATACCAGAGACATTTTCAGTTATCAGACAATTGTGATTTAAGGTCAAAGCTAGTGTCAAAACTACCACGATTGTGTGTTTTAATGGAATTATAAATCGTAGAAATTAAACTATCGATTTCTAAGATATTATAGAAAGTCTAAATCGGAAAAATTGTACATAATCTATTACATAAGTCATTGTATTCATGTAAACAAAAGCATCGGGCCGACTCGACAACAGTAGCGAGACTGAGTCGGTCACTTCAGACGTTCGGATTGCGTATTTTTTTTGTAAATAATTACAATTCCGAAAAACAGATAATTAGGTAGGGATAATCCCGGTAAGTACGTTTGGACAATAGAACGGATGAGTCTCGGCCGGGTCCAACGGGCCGGGTGCGCACTGGAGGGTTCACAACAAAAGCCATACCAATAATAACATCCGAAAGTCGGTAGCTTCTTGCTTTCAAAATCGAAAAGCCAAAAAAGTGTTCGTAAATTTTTTCGATGGATCTGTTTGTGCTTTCAACGTGCAGAGCTTTTGCGGCGGAATCCTTTTGTACTGCAATGACTTAATGGCAGATGTTGTTATAACAAACACAAATTAAAACTTTCAATTACATTTAAATGCAGTTTTATTCAGATTGCGTTTTACAACGCAGACCAATTATTCGGCTTAGTTTTAACCATACATAATTGAGTTCAATGATGAAGGTGAACTGTTAATCGCAGATTTTACAAACTAAGATATGTCTCATTAGCATTAAAACTGTAAAACACATAATGAGAACAGCAGGCACAAATATAATCGTAGTAGGGACCTTTCATTGTGGAGGACTATGAGAGAAGCCTACATACATCTAACAGTGGGGAAACACAGGCTGAACACGAGGCACAAATAAATTATATATAATTAAAAATGAATCCGTATTTTTTTTTAAATCAATGCAAATAATGAAGAAAATGTATTCCAAAATTTGATTAACAAGCTTACGAAGACTATACCTACGTACTAAGAGCTCCTTCTATCTATCTAGTGCTACCAAACAGATAGCTAACTAATTTATATACAACATATTTATTCTCAATGCAACTGAGGTTACACATAAAAAAACTTACTATAATAATATTACACCAAAGGTTTTCTTTTTAATACTAAATTGTACAACCACTTGTTACTTGCTATGTTGTTAATTAAAATTAACTTCCAACTACCGTGGCGGCACACCGTTATTTTTGATTTTAACGAGTTGACAAATCCTATTTTAATTCAGCGCGTTTATTACGACTTTTATCGTTTTTCATTTGTAAAATTCATTTAACGCTAGCAGTCAATGAAACATTTTTATTACGGACATCGTTACATAGGTACCAGTTTTATCGTATTGAATTTTTCGCAGTTCATTTTTGAAAGAGGAACGAGTTCATCAATTGTTTTGAGGGTTTTTTATTCCCAACTAGCTGACCCTGCAGACTTCGTAGTGCCTCAATCGATAAATAAAAGATTTAAACTTCTTTTTTTTTTCCTACTTAAGCTTGTAGCCTAGAGAGGCTATTCCAGCGTAACCGTAACTAGTAGGTGAGCTCACGGGGCTCAAACCTGACGACGATGCTAACACGAACCCTAGCAAGAGTCGTGCTTCGCAGAATCTACCACCGGATCGGAAACGCGACCCACTGAGAAGATCTGGCGCGAAACTCAGTGGGCTGTGTCTACTCGTCGAGCCCTTTGTCGCAAGCGACGGGTTCGACGAGAACGGTGACCGAAAACTTTTGTATAAAATAAACTTAAAACAAACAAAAGTAATCCGTCCGACGGGGACGAAACATCAAAGGAAAAACAAAATTGTTATTTTTATTTGATCCCGAGCATTTTCATATTTATCTACCTTTTAAACCTTATCTGGACTTCCACAAATAATTCAAGACCAAAATTAGCCAAATCGGTCCAGCCGTTCTCGAGTTTTAGCGAGACTAATTGCTGATGAGCGTACATCTCGTAGAGCAGGTTAATGTCACTCGAAAAACGTTGGTAACACCAGGGTACAGTTAAAGACGCTGCTTACCAACTTGTTCAAAACGTACCTATCTCATAATTACCGAATTCGTTTTCGATTAAACATCTTATAAGTTAAAAACGCAACTCATTGATTTATCAATTGCGATTGCACATGCAATTTTGTTTTATTATTGTCTAATTGTCTACTGATTTATTTTTGTCTAATAATTTTCTATTTTTTGTGTATCTAAAGTAAAGCTGTTGTGTTCTTTTTTACTGGTGGTAGGACCTCTTGTGAGTCCGCGCTTGTGGGTACCACCACCCTGCCTATTTCTGCCGTGAAGCAGTAATGCGTTTCGGTTTGAAGGGTGGGACAGCCGTTGTAACTATACTTGAGACCTTATAACTTATATCTCAAGGTGGGTGGCGCATTCACGTTGTGGATATTTATAGGTTCCAGTAGCCACTTAACACCAGGTGGCTGTGAGCTCGTCCACCCATTGAAGCAATAAAAAAACAAAAAAGGATCACTGCTGCTTGAGATACAGGTTTTATCACCTAGTTCAAGCACAGATGCAAATTATGATTGTGTTTCTACTTTTATGTTGGCAATAAATAAATAAACTAAATACAATCAATGATAAAGAAAATATTATGTTTCTTTAATTTAATTTTGTACTTAAATTGAAAGGGATTTTTAAATTTTTCAATAAATATATATTTATTCTTGATTTCCTATGTCGGTTAAAGAGTTATTCAAAACTATCAGAGATGTTCACTTTTAAATTTGTAGTAACCGCAGTCGCAAATATCATCGCGCACCTAACCTCAGGAAGGAGAAAAGCTGCCTCCTTGGGCCGCCCGCAATCTCTCCCAATCCCAAAGGCACCGGTGACCTTTATAAAGGAGGTCACACATGTGAATACTCATTTAGGTTTACATAACAACAGAAAGATTTAATAAAATAAAAATATTGAGTTAATCCATTCATTTCCAAAATATAAATTGAGTAATTAGTTTAATAGTCAGTCGGTCAGATAGGTTTTTTTTTTTTATTGCTTACATGTGTGGACGAGCTCACAGCCCACCTGGTGTTAAGTGGTTACTGGAGCCCATAGACATCTACAACGTAAATGCGCCACACACCTTGAGATATAGTCACAGCGGCTGCCCCACCCTTCAAACCGAAACGCATTACTGCTTCACGGCAGAAATAGGCGGGGCGGTGGTACCTACCCGTGCGAACTCACAAGAGGTCCTACCACCAGTATGTACGTAACGCAAGTGTCTAAGCCGCATAGATTTTAATACCGATTCTAAATATAGTTTCACTATTAATCACTGAAAATAAGCTGGTTTACTTTTTTTCAAATAATTGTACACAGAAAAATTATAAATTAGTATAAATCGATACGGCCACATATAATAAGTATGACTAAAACTAGAAGAAATAATTTTGTATTTTTGAGCGTTGACGATGAATGTACATGTATACTTAACAAAAAAAAGTTTGTTCTTATCGCTTATCTAATAATAATGTAATGATAATATAAGTGAGCAAGTAACACGTCGTAATCTGAAGTATCACCCGCATACTCCCAGTCGTATCAATTGTCGACCCACCACAGCGTCTATAAGGAGGTCTTCTACGTTATTAGAACACTTATAATGTTCATTTTATTACCTACTAGCGACCCGCCCTCGCTTCGCTTCGGAAACATTAAAACACACATGAAACCAAAAAAAAAAAAAAAAAAAGTAGCCTATGATCATCAGGGACAATGTCGGCTTCTAATGGAAAAAGAATTTTTCAAATCGGTCCAGTAGTTTCGGAGCCTATTCGAAACAAACAAACAAACAAATCTTTCCTCTTTATAATATTAGTATAGATTTTCGCATATTTTCCAACCTTTCGAAAATAGCTAGTTACTGCTTCAATCAGGTCCAACTTTAATCAGATTTTACACTAAAACTATTACTATTCTGGAGTTACTTGATACATATTCTCTTGTGATATACGGTACTATGCGACAATCTAGCTCTTCTAGTACTTTCTATTTACAGCTCCTACTGGTAATACCTCTAGGTCGATATTTACGCTGTCTAACTCACGTTGTGGTTTCATACTGTACGTACCGAGGAAGTTTGATAGAGATAATTTTATGAATCGGGAAATAAATTCCTAGATAATTAATAATATAATAATTAATAACCCCACGTATTAGTTTTCTTTTGACTAGCACTATTGTAGCGGGTAGCCATCATATAACACAAGATATTTTACAAAGCCTGAATCTCGCTCACGACATTTTCAAGATAAGCTTGCATATAATATATACAAGCTCCGAACAACAATATTCGGACCGTCGGTCTATCTAGCAATATCACCCGCCACATTATAGTAGTAATTTCCAAGCTATTAAGTGTGATAGACTAGATGGATGATTGAAGAGAAATGTATAGGGGTCTTCTTCGTCTTACATATATTAAAACCCTTAGTTGTTATCTTAAAACATCCTGCCTATTTCTGTCACGAAAAAAGTTTAAGCATAACGGTTTGAAGTGTAGAACAATATACAAATTCATCAGAGACAGATATATCGAAGCAGACAGTAGCATCCATATCGTGTTTTCCATGGGTTCCGCTAACCGTTCAGCCTCAGATGGACTGTGACCTCGTTTGTCAATCCTAAATAAGAATATTCTAGAAGGATTTTTTTTCTAAAAACATCTTTCCAATTCTCTAAATATATTATGCAATGAATTGAACTATAAGTCCGCTTCTGTATCCATCTGCTCCATCAAGTTTACAATAGTCAATTTAGTTTCAAGACGAGTAACCGCATTATGAAGAAATATCACCGATTACGCTACGATTGTTTTTCCTAAATTTGAAATATTAACAAGCACGTTTAATTTATGAAGCTTATAAGCCGTGTAGTTAATAGTGTAGGATTTGTTCTTAAATTAGACATATAACAATATATTTTGTTAACAGGTAAATTATTGCAGATTCATATTGAAAGTTACAAGTTTATATGTGTAAATAAATCCTGCAGGAAACAGCGATATCGATTGGTTTGATAATAGTCGTATATGTAATAGGAAAAATTCGGTAATATATTTATTAGCCAAATACTATATTATCCAAATAGCGTTTAGTTACATATTTATCCGTTGCTTCTTTAAATATTTCAAAATAGAACATATGATAATCTGATGATGTAATCATCTTCAAAATAAATCAACAAATAATTAAATGCATTTCAAAGAAACACAACAATATTTTAAAACAATGCAATGTCTATCTAAAAGTGTTCATATACAGACGTTATTTATAATAAACAATTTAAGCAAATATTTTTTAAACAGATTTGCTTATGTGAAAAAACAACAACGAAATGAATAATTTAAACATAGTAATGCTACAAATATTTTACATTCAGAACCTTACTTAAGTTTCACATTAAAATGCGTAAGCATATTTGTTTAATCAGAAAAGTAAAATTAACTGTTTATTTTTTCTATTTACACGCCTTTCATCAAATCGTTCATAACGTTTAATTCGTCAATATTGAACGTGAAATTTTTAAATATTTTTTTTCATTAACATATCTCTTTGCCGAAGACATTTATTTTTTCTTACATAAGTGGACTTTTCTCAACGATGCACAAAAGCAAAATTCGCAACAGCTGATTAATTTCCTATTTAATTTCGCATTTTGTAATTACTTACATACATTAATCCTACCCATCAAAATGGATTTCAAATTTAGATCAATAAAGAGAGGTAAATAATTAAAGATTAAAATGAAAATAACTCACTGTGATATCCTTAAAACAAAACGTTCCTTGGCGCGCACACACAAAAACTATAAACTAAGTTTTCTAAAACGGTACTTTAATTTATTTTCGAAGTGGTACATTAGTGTTTACATCGCAGGGATGGTTGATTGCGAAGTGACGCACGCGCAGATCTCGTTCGGGGGTTGTACGCCATGGGAGGGGCGACGGGGTTGATTAGCCCCCATATTTGAGCCATTGATAAGCCCATTCAATAAAGCGATGTTAACGTGATAGTGAACTACGAAGGAGTTTTTGTTTTATCTGATTTTGAAACAATGACATAGACATTAAAAGCATAGCTTGATAAAGTGACTTTACATTTCTCTCTTTTTCTATCTCGATATTTAAGTCTTATTATTTTTGTTCTATCTAGAATATGTCTTACAAGTCTTAATAAATATTTTTTAACCACTCAATAAGTAACTAACAATAATTAATTTATATAACTTATGTAGTAATTAAATTATAATACTTATATTGACAAATGGCTTTAAAAATATTTTGTATTAGGTTTTATATTAATGAATTAACTACACATTGTATTGATATACAATTTTATTAGAATAAAATTTTATTTTACTCATTTATTAATTATTTAATTTCATAAAAATAATTTTATTCTAATAAAATAATCCCCATTCGCAATATTTTTATAACAATTTTTTTTTTAAATATGGTATTTTGATACACCCGCACTATTTATATCTAATTTCTTGAATTCTTGAATATACCTATAGTTTACCGATAATGTACTAACTCGTAAAGCAGATATAATATAAAACGTTAAATTCGCAACAGAAATATACGGAACTACTATTATTTTTGTCAGTCAAAATACACAAGTATTTACTTAAACATCAATAATAGCCCTTGCAAAGGGAGATGCTACGCAATAATAATGAGTGCATCAATAATCTACTAGACAATAACCGCATCCCCATAATCAGGGTGCCATCTTTAAATCTGTGTCATTTGACAGCTGTCAAACGGCGTGTCGTGACGTAACCAAAATGCAGACCAGTGATTGGTGCTTTAGCTGTCACCCCTGCGGTGAAGGGTGGCGCTTTTATTTAGAATTTCAGGGCCACTTTGTGCAGATACCCTATTGTCATTGACACTGGGTTTCTGATGGTGATAGTTAGTCACTTTTAAATAGCAGCTCATTATTACCATATTGCTTCCTTCAAAATGTTTAATTTGAACAGAACAGACAAATGTATATCTTTTTATAATTGATATATTACCATACAATGGGCTCTTTACTTAATTTATGGAGCATTTACAAAATTAATCTAGAGAAATTTAATTTAACTAAATTTCATGGTGACACTGAAATATTGAGTTCTGAACTAAAACTGCAGTACAGTTGCATTCATGACCGGTGAACTTCCGGTGAACATTAAATTTTTTAGTGCATTGACATATCTGTCTAACGAGACTTGAACAGAAATCTGACCGCTAACTAACAGCTTGAGTCCACGAGCGAGGGTAGCTAGTCACACCGTCAGTGGTAAATTTACACTAGGGGCAGTCGGGGTAAGTGCCCAGGGCGGTAAATTTTTTAGGGCGGCAAAATTTTGAAAGTGATTTTTTTTTCTTATCAAAATTGCTCTATGTAATTAGTTAATTCTATAATTAATAATTTTCTGTTTAATTGATAATTCAAGAAATTCAATTCATCCATTATTTGTGAATTCTAATTTTGGCGCTTTTGGTAAAATTAATAATCAAAACGATTTAATTAATTTATTTCCTTGGAGATCTAAAATAATAATCGATATTTTTATTTACCAGAATTAAAGAAATTAAATTTTTTTTCATGTATAATTATGAGTCAGCCTCAGTGCCAAATTTATAATTATTAAAAAACACATATATTTATTTATGTTTTTGGAATACATAACATATAATAATAAAGTTTCTAGTAAAATTGAAGAAGAAAATACATAAACTATAAGTAAAATTTCAGTATTGGGGCGGATTTTTTTCTGGTGCCCAGAAGCAGCATTAAATTTAAATCCGGCCCTGCACACCGTACTTAAAAACTATCCATTTTGTAATACTCCAAGCTTTGTCGCAGGCGGTCTCCCCGTTTACTAAACAACAAACAAACATGGGTAAGTATAACGGAAAACAAATTTTACTGTGGGCAGCGTTTTCGCTGTGTCATTGTCGAAGTCCATAAGCGACGGTAACCACACACCATCAAATCAAATCAATTTTTTTTTATTGAACATAAAGGAAAGTCCATACTTGTTGAACGTCAAAAGAACTACCGCCAATTCACAAGAACTAGCCTCCGTCCTGAGAAGAATTGGCAAGAAACTCAGCGGGCATGTCTTTTTTTCTTATATTACATTTTTTTTTTAATATTAGAATTTTTAAATATTCATTTTTACAATGAGTATTATAACGTAACAATTATTACAATATTGAAATGCCCGGAGCGAGCAACTTATTCCTACTTTGTGCAATCTTCTAGATAATCATTTACTTTATAGTAAGCTTTATTGCACAGATGTTCTTTAATAGTTTTCTTAAACGTATGTTATGTAGGCTCTGAATATCTTGTGGGATTTTGTTGTAATGATCTATATGCTCGTACCTATGCGCACAAAGGCGACAAAGATAAAAATAAAACAACCAATTCCACTTTTAAAACAGTTTATTATTAAGTACAAAAAACACTCCGTACAGATACACATCCGACCACAATGTACGGAGCGAAGGCTTCCGAATTAGAGATCTTACTTGAATATTGATACTTTTAAAAATACAAGCACAGTGACGAATTGTAAAGATGTAAACTTCAATAATTAAAATCGTGGGTACTTCATTCCCAAAAATATTCAATAAGATTTAAAAAAATAAAATAGAAGTTACTTATGTAATAAATTTTAATTTTTAACTATCTAGAACAATTAAAAACTGTTATTTATATATCTATATATGTATATATATCTTGAATAGGAATTCAACACACCATAATCTTGTTTCTCCCGGCTATAATCGCCATTTATTTGGGATCGGCCTGACTACTACGTATCTGTGTCAGTACGGTTTTATTAGACAAAAATGATTTTATTAAATGAAATTAATATAACAGAACAATGATTGGTTAGCATTATTTCTGTGTTCGAGCTGTCTGACAAAGATTATCTAATTTTAAATGCCGTTTAATTAAAAAGTTTTATATTTCAATTTGTCCATAATTCATTAAAGAAAGTGATTGGTCGAAATATAAATTGAAAATACACTATAAATAAAGAAGAGGAAACGATCATACATACCAAAACTGTGTCACCACTATATTAACTTCTACCGGTAATTCATATTAAATCGAAATAAATTCTTCATGTCAAGTCAGAGCCATGGGTACAGCCAGAATAAGAAGGGTAGGGGTTTATACCAATTGTAATGTCAGTGAATGTTTGAGGAAAATATTTTTATTGTTTGCATTAAGAAAAAAACTATGTTATAATAAATAATATTATCAAATGTAAAAAGCAACATTATAATTTATAGATACCATGTGGTTTGTCTGGTGCAAGGCCAACATTCCAGAAAAAAGAAAAAAACATATAGTAGTATTAGTGGTTCGTCTTCGTTAATTGCATTATGCTAATTTATTCTCCTTAGACGACAATGTCCCAAATTTCAAAAGGTACGGTTGTTTTTGCAAATAACGTTTTGTCTTCACAGTCACTATCTAAAAATACCAGTGATAGAAAAAAATAACATTAAAACCACGAATACAAGTATGGCCGGTGAAATGAAAATAAATACAATTTGCTAATGTGTTTTCGTCTGTAACTGTAACTGTATCTGTATACAAATAAAAACTAACAAATACGCAAGGTCAAGTGTATCCTGAGACGCAAAACTGTTTCGCTTTGAATGAGATTGCGCGTTCACTTAATAAAACTTAATAAAACCAGGTAGTGCTATATAATTTAGATGATTACGAACTTATGTCTGGTTTAATATGTGACTACTCAATTATGTGCTACTTGCAAAAAAAGGTGGAAGATATCTGAAGTCGTTACCTAATATTCTATTTATCATATTGATGCCTGCAGCTATTAAGACGGCTATATACTATATCCAGAGTTTTAAAAAAAAAAACAATTAAGAAGCTTATAAAAACGGTGCAATTTTGTCAAAGAAAATGAAAAAATAGTTTTTAAAATTTAAGATAAACCACAGGTAATACAGAGCTATCAGTTTTGTAATGTTTGATTTACATTTTTTGATCACTGTGATCACAGTGCAAGATCATGTGCGCAAGTTCAATTCAATAGCGTAGATACTCACACTGCAAATTGTACTATTATCAACGCAACAGAAACACTTTCTAAATAATAATGTTTAATTTATTGTAAATCTACAATTTATTTATCTAAATTTAAAACAGTTACTTATAAAATTACGTGCTTTTCTGAAGTATTTGATAAAAATACTCTGTAATAATGCGAAAATTAATGCAAAAACCGATTAATTTTGAATTTTAAAGATTTTCACGCGATCACACAATATGTTACTATACCATATTGTGTGATCGCTCGTGAACTTGTTATCCGAATACATTTTGACGTAAGTGAACACAATTATTCATTTACTATCACATTTATGGCCATAACAAACAAAACACAAAACCATCAAACGATCATTAAACTCTCTTATCCAGCATCATTCCTGTAAGAACCTTCTAGAACTAAATGCGGTACTAGTCTTTGGGTAAAGCGCTGTCGCTTTTGCCTCTACAATAGACTCTGCACGCTGACTTTGAACCCAGCATTCTGTCCAATAAACTGTGCTTGGCCCTTCGCCGGAGCGTGAGGACTTCACGGCAAAGCTCGTGGAACACTTCACCAACTTGATTGACTTGCTCAGCAGCAGCCACCTCTGCGAAGCTACACTCGAAATCTTTAGCTAGGATCTCCCCTTCTTCTGGACTCACCTAAAAACACATATTTTTTTATTGCCTTTGTAGGCAGACTAGCATACGGCCCGCCTGGTGGTAAGTGGTCACCGTCGCTCATTGACCTCAGCAATGCCAGGAGCAGAGCCAAGCCGCTGCCTATCATTAAGTACTCTCCGCAAGCCTCGTTTGAAGAAGGACATGTCATAGCGCTCGGAAAACACCGTGGAGGGGAGTTCATTCCAAATTTTCACATTTGTTAATACTGGGTAAATAAACTGTAGGGTTGCTGTGGTTTTCGCTAGACTATAATTTTTAAAATACCCTCAGATTCCATTAATGTTAGTTACTTAAACGGAATAACAAAGACAGCAATACAAAGCTTAATTCGGATAAACGATGCTAAAACGTACTGACCAAGTAAAAAAAAGAACTTATTTTAAGTTCCTGAAATTATAAATTATTAGCCGTACTCGCCCTCTTCGCTGGGCATTTAAAATTAACATTATTATTTATTGTCATTATTATTAGGGAGTCCAACAGTCATATAAATATTAGCCTATCCATTAAGTACATGTATTTTAAATCAATCGGATGCATGGTTCAGAAGTTATAACGGAACATCCGTAAAAACCACTGTAGATTTATATATTAGTATACATAAGAGAGAGACAGATCAATCCGTGAATACGTCACCACAGACCGCGATCTGTATCGTTAATTCTTCGTTAGAAAGGAAATTGAACTACACACCTGCCTCAGATGTACCATATCGGCTTTATTTCCGACCAAGGTCAGAGGTATCTCCGGTTGAAGGCTCTGTTTGGCTCTCCGGACGTAGTTAAAGGACTCCCGATCCGTGATTGAATACACCAAGAATAGACCGTCCGCCCATTGTGCTATCTCGTTCCCAGGTATTTCATTTAGACTCTGAAATTTAAGAAAGAGAAAACTTCATTTAGGTACACATACAGAAATATGATGTGTTCAAATGAATACAGTGAAAATTTAAGACATCAAATTAAATGGGAAAATAGGACATTGGGTAATTTTGTTTTCTTTATTCATATACTGAGAAGCATGCTACTGCATTAATTTATAGAAAAAATCCCTTGCCAATCCTAATCTCCTTGTCGGTGGCTCAGTAAGGTGGAAAAATCAATCGCCCTCTGTAAACCCATAAGTTGCATATACTAAAGCGAAAAACGGAAGCAACTTTCCTATTGATGGACAAGATTGTTTATACTCGTAATGGTACACAGGCGACGTCTCCCTAAGCACTTCATTTCGGATCTTCCAGATCTACCAATGGTGCTTTTAGTTGCCTCAAGCACCGGTTACTATTTTTGGCGGCTTGCGACAAAGGGTCCGGCAACGGTAAATTAACCCACAGACACAGCCCGCTGAGTTTCTCTCAGGATCTTCTCAGTGGGTCGCGTTTCCGATCTAATGGTAGATTCTGCGAAGCACTGCTCTAGCAAGGGCTAATGTTAGCAACGTCACCAGGTTAGAGCTCCGTGAGCTCACCTATTCGTTCGGTAACGCTGACATAGCCATATAAGGCTACCAGCATAGGTAGGAGTAAAAAAAAAATGTTTTCAAGTAGCTGAGCCGCCACAGTAATTAAGTAAATTGATTTTACAAGGCAAATTTATTAAATTCACATACTTAAATTTTTATCCTGTCCTAAAACCGATTATTATTGACTGCAAATTATTAGCTCGGTTACTTAAATTTCCTTACCTTTGGACATGTGTCTAATATTTCGAAAAGTATGGGTTCTCCGTCTAGCAACGCCTCGTGTTTGTATTTGCTGTCTAAAAATAACAACAGGTAAGTTTAATACATTGCGAAATCATGTATTCATATTACAGTATTATTGTCGCCAGCATGTCGTATAATTGAGGTTAAATCACATAATACCTTGTTGATGGTCGTATTCCCCGATGTACCGCTTCGTGAGGAAGCGAACCGTGAGCGCTATAAAAAAAGTACAAATAACTATTTAGTTTTGTTATTCATTAAAATTCCCATGTCTTCTTCTTTTTCTCCACCTTGTCCCACTAGGTGGGGTCGGCACAGCTAATATCTCTTCCATTCTCTTCTATCAGCCATCATCTCAACACTCACTCCTCTTTCTCTCATATCGTCATTCACATACTCCATCCACCGGTCACCGTCCACGCCGAACCCGTCGCTTGCAACGAAGGGCTCGATGAGTAAATTAACCCATAGACACAGCCCACTGAGTTTCTCGCCGGATCTTCTCAGTGGGTCGCGTTTTCGATCTGGTGGTAGATTCTGTGAAGCATTGCTCTTGTTAGGGCCAGTATTAGCAACACTCCCGGCTTGAGCCCCATGAGGTCACCTACACGTCAAGGAGAAGCTGAAATAGCCTCTCAAGGCTATCAGCATAGGTAGGAAAAAAACTCTATCCATGTCTTCTTCTTCGGTCGACCTATTCCCCCTCTACCTTGCCCTACCATTTCCATACATCTCCTAGTCACATGCATCCTCTCCCTACGTATCACATGTCCATATCACGCTAACCGTTCGCTCTTTAATTTGTTGATTACTGGGTCTACTTTCACACTTCCTCTTATTAAAATTCTCATATAATTTAATGAAATCATTCCGAATGTATCCTATACCAACACGTTATGACGCAAATACAGCCGACCAGTAAGCTAAATCGGTTCGAAAAACAATTTTTACGGTCTTCCCACTTGAGTCCCGTGGCCCACCGCTGCGTAGGAGAAATGACCAAAACGGGGCGAAAGAATAGGATAATAAGCCTAAGCCTATATAGAGAGAATATGTATGAAAAACAGGTTACGGTATCAACCCGCAGCGGCTTAATTGTGCCCCTGACATTGTATATGTCCACTCACGATCAAGTGCATAATACGCTCTTTTCAAAGCTAATAAAAAGCTTCATGCAAAATTATATAATTTTCAAAATTCCGAACAAGACTAAAACAGTGATGGAATGTTCGGAAAACCCGAAGAAGGTAACCGGGTAAACTTTACTTTGAAATCATGTCATTAGCTGTTCCCACGTAATTTTTCTAATAATAATGTTAGGTAGTAATTAATCGATTAACAAACAGTGAACAAATGTGTTATATAACTGTAACATTTAATGTTTACTTATCAACTGTCCGAGTCGATGAATAGTTTGAAATGTATGGTCTTGGAATAATTTTATTTTTACGATCGATAGACGTATGCGTAATATTTTAGGATATTTGAATTTCCTGCTAATGGCGAATATATTTTGTATCTTATAACAAAACATAGCTTACATTAAAAAATAAATCATACTAATTTATTATTTCAACATTCATCATTTCAACGCTCTAGCCTCTATTAGGTAAATGAACAGGCTCATGGTCCACCTAGTATGCCATGTATTTTTTTAAGATCGCACTGGGTACGAGACCTTTAAGCCAAGTTACATATTTTTATTACATTATTTTCTTAAATTATGTTATAATATGAAAAATGATACAAAGCGAAATGAGATAAAGCTGATTAATTTAATATTGTAATTAATTCGGATGGAATTAAAATAAATAAAATAATATAGGATGAAATAAAGTCCCAGCAAAATGATAGTTATTTACTAAAGCTTTTTCAATCCACATTCTGGAGAACCCACCATTAGAATCCACCATTATTATATACTTAAACCTGATGAGACATAAAATTAATAATATAAAACAATTCACCAAACTGTATTGTTATCCATGTTAACATAGATCTCCTAATGAAATGCCGCCACAGATAATAAAATGACTCTCGAGACGATGATGATGATGATGAAAAAATGATATGTGTCAATATCAATTGCTCTGTGTATTATAGTAAAGATTTATTCCCCATTCACATCGGAACGCATGAATATGAATAGTAAGGTAGCCGTTATTCCAATGCAAAAGGGACCCTATAACACTTTCCTTTTTTTTGTGATTGAAGGATTACTGGTGGCCCAGAGGCCTGACCTTTCCAGTTTCACCAGGAGGGGTGGGATTTGCTAACAGCAACCCGAGCGCTTCCGAAGGAAACCTATCAACTCAAGAGCAACTGATTCGCGAATGAATCTACTACCGGATCGGAATCGCGACCCGCTGAGAAGATCCGGCGAGAAACTCAGCGAGCTGATGCATCAGGCTGGGGCGGTAGGTATACGATCCCTTGACCCAGATCTGTCAGAATATGTTTTAAATACGTATGAATCCCCCTTCGGGTCTTCTCAGGAGTAGAGATTATTGATATATTTGACACCGATGGTTAAGTTTATTTTGAAATTTCCAGAAGTTTAAAGTATGAAGTCGAAAATTGAATCAACGATTTGAATTTGGATACGTGTAGGCGAATGTCGGTCTCTGCTACTACTACTACAATTGTTCCATAATTGTTTGAAATATGCAATTTTTAAAGATACATATGCGTTTGAAAACCACAATATCGTTCTAATTGATCCAAATGACGCCAGACGCCATTTCCTAACACTGTAAACGCTAACTCTCACATTCAGCATTTGAAGTAATACTATTTACGGATCACGAAACGAAAGCTACTAAGATTACCTATTCGATCGTAGAGAATGCGAATAACGTAAACATCCTACTCAGTCATATGATTTATTGAAAGTAATCGAACTCTGACGCTTCGTAAGTCACGTTTGTTTTGCATATAAAGTTACTAATGCACTGTTTCCGATTATACTGCGCTTGGGAGAGGAAGTACTTGCCCGGAAGTTTAGGAATATGAGTAGCTTGTTTGTTTCATTGTGCACAAAATTTACAGAAACCGCTATGCGTATGATTTCATGTTAAAACTTTGTAATTGCTATTATATGTAATTATATTTGTTTTTAAAAGGATTATTCTTAATTTATTACGCGAAAAATCTGAGGATTGATTGGTAAAATGATAGCTATATTCAAATCGATTGACATGTCTGTACCCAAGTACAAAGGTACTAGTAAGTAATATGTACTTGTAAAGTACTTGCGCATCTAATACAAAGTACTTCTAATATTAGTATTCATATAAAACAAAAATAGTAATTTCTAACAAAATAAAAAGAAATATTCAAATTGATTAGTTAAACACTATTTTATAAAATTTGCGGCAGGCGTGTATATTTTAGACTACAGTAAAAGATCGCGATTATAGAGCTTTTATATGTTCCGTATATGTCCGGGTATATGTTTTGTAAATATGCCGCGAATACAGAAACCGTAAATATGCAATGCTAATTTACATAATATATAGGCTAAAATAGAGGATACCTTCCTAGATAACAAAATAAAAAACAAGTACATATGTTTATAAGAAAATGAATTTAATTGCAGTTTTTGACCATAATCATTAAGGACGACACGTTTACAAAGGTTATTCAGTTGGATAGGTACCTACATATTAGAACCCTTCTTATCAATGTGTATATACCGATTAGATTCGCGAATTAAGAAATCTTTAGGCGCGAATATAGGGATTGGATCGCATTTTGTTAACCCGCGAATAGTAAAAATGCGGCTCAAGGAAGAGTGAATAAGGAGCTTTTATTGTACTTATTATACAAATACGAACAAACAAACGTACGAACAACGATTTCGAAATTCAGTATTGTTTTTTCCGCGTCTATGGTATTGTATACTACTATACCTATGGGCTACGGTAATTATATAAGACTAGATAAGCCCATGTTGTTCAATTTTCACCTAAAACGACTGACGTAATGAACCTATTGTTTTACTAGAGCATGTCCCACTACGCGAGAATAGAAGCTTTTCGTATTTCCTTTCATTAGTTCATTATGAAAATCGTTAATGGGTATGCATTCATTGAAACATATATGGTAGCCGGGTCGCCTTGGATCGATCTACGGAATAATCGTTTTTCTTTTCTACCTAATCACTGGTAGCCTTCAGGTGCTTTTACAGCTTCTCCGAGCTGGTAGACCGGCGCTCACGTGGGTCGACCTTCGAGCAAATAATCACATATGAGAGTATAGATGTATTAATTAAATATACAAAACGAACGCTTCTCTTATATTAAGTTTCGACAGTAAGTACGTTTGTTTATGAAATACTAGCGACCCGCCCTCGCTTCGCTTCGGAAACATTAAAACACACATGAAACCAAAAAAAAAAAAATTTTTTTTTAAAAAAGTAGCCTGTGTTCATCAGGGACAATGTCGGCTTCTAATGGAAAAAGAATTTTTCAAATCGGTCCAGTAGTTTCGGAGCCTATTCGAAACAAACAAACAAACAAATCTTTCCTCTTTATAATATTAGTATAGAAGTATAGAAATTACATCACCATGTACCTATCGAAGTTTACAAGTCACAACGTTTGTAAAGACAAGCCATTATTCAAATGCCAGTTACAAGTTTGACATTGACTTCGGGGCTGCCGATCTATGACGTCACACTTCGATCCTCCTTTCCGACGCAGCCGTATAACTATCCCACTATCGCCACTATGCCAATAAAAATGTATTATTATAGTGAAGTCGTAATTCTGCACATTTTTATTTTTGTTATATCGTCAATCATAGGCCGGCTCATTTTTGCTATATCGTGATAAAATGAAACGGACATTATAAAATGAATTATTTACATCGTGTCGTTTACGAGCATTTACAACTATTACATTAGTAGCTTCGTGTATAAGATTAGTTACTTGTGTCATCTGAGATGATAGAGTGAGAGATGTGTAATGACAATAAATAGGTATGTAGTTAAGTACTTACGAATGAATACTTTTGGTGAATTACAATGTTTATGTTTATAAGTGGTTGACATTACTGTATTACCCACTATACTCATATCAAGCAATGCAACTTTGCTTATGTTCATACCGCAGGCAGGTATAATTTTTCAAAGGAAATACAAAAGTGCGTTCGCGCCTTTAAACAATACTATCGAGACAGTTTGTATTTTTATCAATTAATCCATTTACCCACTT